AATGAGCTTCTCAGCTTGAAATGTGGGCGCGTGGTGTTGTCAGTCAAAAGTTTCGCCGCGTCTGCAAGTGCGGAAATTCGTCCGCGACCCTGATAAGCCAGGCCGACCGAGGTGCGTCATCCCGATAGCTGTTTCTCGCAGCTTCATCATCGGACCTGCACCTCGTATGTGAAATCCGGTAATCGCATAGCAAGACGAAGACAAACAACCACGACAGAAGCTCCGTCTTCCCCTCGTAAGGGCAGCAACACGCATACCCATCGCTTTTCCGTATCACACCACAAGCGCATCACCAACGCGCCGCAGCCCCCCTGACTCAAGCCGTCGGCACCCGCCGACCCTGCCCCAACCGAACTCACACCACCCTCTCACCACCGTCATCACATCCAAAGTTTCGCACGAGCCCAGACCAATGACAGTGTCCGGGACCAAGCGACCGCTTTCCACAGTGCTCAGTCCTGTTGCCCGATACGGGTTGTGTTTTGCTGCTGACTGTTGGTTTTGGTGTGCCTGGCTTGTCCGATATGTCAGGCCAGCCGGTCGGGTTGCGGCGTAGGGCTGAGGAGGATGGAGGGCTCACGCCATGGGTTGGTGGTGCGATTGCGGGTTTGTGAGGGTGATGGGGATGGGGGTTTGGGTTTGTAGGTTGGATAAATAGGATGGTGGATGCGAGGTATGGTGGCTATTCACGAACAACGACAACAACAACTACAACTACAACTACTGCGATCAACAGTCCACTTCATACATCTTTACACTCAGCAAGAGACGCAAACACCAATTTTGTTTACACAATACCACGACAACATCATTCCATCCCAACTCCATCTCAACCAAACCAATACCTTCACACAACCACACAAACCCCAACACACAACCATGCCATCACCAACCCAAGCCCGCCTCCTCTGGCGCACCCTCTCCCGCAGCATGGTAGAACCCCACCCCTTCGCCCGCAACCCAATAACCATGACACCTCATGCATGGCGAGCGGGTGATCTCTCAAGGAAATTGGTAAAGACGAGTGCTGTGTAAGTCTCCTACATTTCTTATCCGACTATCCTTTTCGTTTCTCGTTGGAAATTTGTCGCTAATAGTTATTCAGCTACTTCCCGTTCTACGCAGTTATTTTCGGCTGGCCAGTCGCGGCGTCGTGGTGGTTTAACGGGAATATGTGACTCGAAGTTGCTGGGAGAGGGGGGGAGGGGAGTGAGACGGAGAAGGCGGTAGGGGAGATGAAGGGGTTGAGTAGTAAGGAAGTTGAATTTTTGGTTTTGAATATGCGGTGGGATGATTGATTAAATTTTGCATTGGGCTGGAGTTTAGGTCTTCTTGTCATCGCATTTCCGTCTGTTGGAAGGCACTTTAGAAAACTATTACTATTCTGTTCAAACGCACTTTTCCTACCCTTCACAACCCCCCACTGAGTCGCCTTGCCAGAACACGGCAATACTACCACTAAACCATCCCACCACCCACCCCCCTACAAATCCAGCACAACCCTCCCCACCCCCCTACTAACACAACTCAACATCCCCCCCTCCATCTCCTCCTCCAACAACCCCGTCCCCCGGTGCTCCACCCTCCCCCCACAAACATCCACCCTACACGTCCCGCAATTACCCACCTCGCACGAACTATCAATCTCCATACCCACAGCCCTCAGCGCATCAAGCAGCGACTCCGTAGCCCGCACTTCCACCGTCTTGCCGCTTTGTTTAAGCTCCGCGGTAAACGGGTCTCCGGATGTAGCTACCGTAAACGCTTCGATGTGGACAGAGGACTCGGGGATGCTGTAGGTTTTTGCTGTGGAAACGACGGCGTCCATGAGCCGTAGGGGGCCGCAGGTGTAAATGTGGGTTTGGAGATCGGCTTTTGAGAAGATAGCAGGGAGGTTCAGGCGTTGGCCGAGGGATTTGTTGTAGATTGTTGCTTTGGGACCTAGTGCGGCGATTTGAGAGGCGAAGGGTATTTCTTCTGCGACGGCGTAGTGGAGATGGAAGTCTTGGTTCGTTTCTTGGAGGTAGGTGAAGGCTGTTATGAAGGCTGTTATGCCGATGCCGCCTGCGATGATGATGTGTCGGTCTGCGGTTTTAGCGAGGGGGAAGCTGGCTGTGATGCGGCCGACGGTGAGGATGTCTCCTACTTTGGTCTGGGAGTGGAGGTATTTGGAGCCGCCGCGACTGCTTGGGTCTAGTGCGACACCGAGCTCGAAACGTTTTGAGGTACCGCTAACGACGGAGTAGGCGCGTACTAACTTTCCTCCTAGCTTTAGTCGCACGTGGCTACCCGGCTCGACGGGCGCCGGCTCTGGGATATCTTCAATGGATTCGAAGATGAAGGCTGTAACAGTATTCGTCTCCTTTCGCTTCTCGACAAGGCGGTATTCATTCCAAGTATCCATCTTCTCGTCCTCGCCGCCAAACAGTCTGCTATTGTGGTCTTCAACAACACCTCTATCCAGACGTTTCTGGAATTTTCCTTTGATGTCCCATCCAAGCTGCGGCAGCTGCACAATCTGCTTCATCATCTCCACGTTGTTTGTTTCGATGAAAAGGTAGTACATAACCCTGGCTATCGTCCACTCTGGATGCGGTCGCTCGAGTAGGGAGATCATGTCGCCTGCAGTGATGGTACCGGTTTTGATGATACGGTACATCCACCCCGTACGTAGCAGCGTCTGTGTGCGCTTGGCCATGTCTTTGACCTCGAAGCGATGGTTGAGCTTATAGCAAGGTCCGCGTGGCTCACTAACCTCGACAACGATGTCACCAATCGCCAGTCGATCTCCAATACAAAGGTTCATCTCGTTGACTTCAGTATTGAAGAGGTTCTCGCCAAACGCACCGGGCTTGAAATGGTGTTCTGAGGCGGGTAGCTCTTTCTTCCACTCATCGTAATGCGATGTGCAGTAGTGGAGGAGCGCTTTGTCTGGGCCGCCGTGCAGATGGAATGCATGTTCATCTGTGGGAATACCCAGCTCGGTGATCTCGACTGGACCCGTCAACGGTCCTTTGTAGATGGCAGACTCGATCTTGCCGTTTCCAAGCGACTTCTTGATCTTGCCGGCGCGTAGTTGGATGAGCGGGAAGGGCTCGAAAGGCGCTGGGTTGACCAGGGTGTCGGGGTCTGGAGGCGGCGGCGGTATCCACGTCGAGACAGGCATACTTGGGATTGTATCTGGGATCGATTGAGTACGTCGAAGTAGACCAGTTGGCGCAGCTGTAATCCTTCGATCTTTACAAGCGTTTCTTTATGTAAGGCGTAAAGACTTGGTGCTCCGTGCGCCAGGTCGGGTCAAAGAGAATGGACAATGGGGTCGTCGATCACGAACGTGCAATGAAGAGAAAGGTCCTTTTTTACTTCATGCAACAACTCCTAAGGTGTTAGGTCAGTCATCAGGCGTGCAGCCATAGCCTGCGGAGTACCCTGTGATGAGTCTAGACTGATTGTAAGCTACACCAGACTCGGAAGGCGTATGGGAAGATTGTGACTCTGCAAGAGAAGTCGATGAGTCTTGAAGACAGCTAGATGCACAATTCGGTAAGCATGCAAGAGTCGGGTTCGATGTGCGTCCCAGCATCATGACCGGCCTGACGAGAAGACCACAATATGTCATTCGATTCCTGGTGTTCTGTAAATTTGACACTTTGGAGTTGTCTCATGTTCGATCCAATGTGTAGGGTCTGGCGGGATGTTGCCTGTTGAACGAAAAGCTTGTACCAAACAAGCCCTGCGGACGCCGAGTTACAGGCGAGGGAGATGGCGGAGGTCGGAGATGAGCGCGACTCCCCGACCCGGGCTTGGACGCGTCGACTCGCTCGGACATACAAGTTATACGTCAAGTCAAAGACTAAATCAACGTTATTTGAGATGTCGTGGCGCGGTTGAACGGTCGGAATGTAGTTCAGACGATGAACGCGTCGTGTGTCACGTGGGTAGCGGCCTCGGCTGCAGTTTGGTGCAACTGACGTCAATGTGAGGGTCCGTGGACAAGCTCCGAGCTACAGCATCAACTCGTCACCGCGATCTCAAGATAGTCAATTGCTTCTGGCCCCGCAACTACTCGACTTTCCAAACCTCAAACTCAATACATCCAATCTACTCAATCGGAAACCAATACCTGTCGCACATCGCAACCTCACCATGTTCCGCATCCAACCCGCACGCGCCGTACAACGCGCAACCTTCTCTCGCGCAGCCATCGTTCGCCCTCGCTTCCTCAGCACAACACCAGGACGCTTCGCTCAAAAAGATGCGCAAGACAAAGACTCGCTGAAGCCCCGGTCGACCGAGTACTCCAAGTCTGGCTCCGACGATGGCGCCGCACACTCGGACGCTGCCTTCGACCCCAAACAGACCAGCCCAGAGGAGGCAGAGGCAACTGCTGAGAAGGAGGCTGGAGGTCCACAGAACAGCTTGAACGCCAGCCCGGGCAACAAGAAGGTCAGCGAACCCAACAGCCCAGACGTTGGCGGCAATGGCGGAGCGCCGGACAAGAAGAGCAGCGGTGGGGGCAGCGCGCCTAAGAACAGCACAGGATAGATGCAGATACCACGCGGACAGACTATAGTCATGATAAGGAGATGTCAAAGGCATAAACATCAGGTGGCTATTGAGGGTAATCCAGGGCGTACAGGGAGCATCACATCACAGCATTATAGCATTGGGAGTCGCATCTCAAGCATCCAACTGTATATACCCCACAATCGAAAGAGAAAAAAAAATGCCAATTCCGAAGCCACGACCACCAGTGACGTGCCCATGCTGCAGCTCCACCGGATGCGGCATCTGCGTGGAGCAACCTCAGTCTCGCACCCATGCAATGACGTCACAGCCAATGACGCTGCCCACAAGAACGCGGCAGCAACATCCGTCTTTGCACAACAAAACATCTTCACATCTCTTCAATCCTCCTACTACACTTTTTAAACTCCCCTTTTACAAACCATAAACCTCACATATCCCCCACCTCAAACCTCAAACCTCAAACCCTCAAGATGGCACCCCGCGCCCTCTACACAGCAACCCGCTCCCTGCGCGCTCCCACCCCCATCTCCACCTCGCGCACACCTTTCACCACCTCTTTCACCACTTTCACCGCTTTCACAACGCGCCGTACCTTCAAGACAACACCCTCCCTGCGCATCAAAGAAGACGCAGCGCGCACCCCCGAACAAGTCGAAGCCGCAAAGCAGGAACAGCTCCAGGAGCAGGAAAAGGGCGAGGGCAGATGGCGCGAGGACCTTGCTAGTCATGGCGAGAGCAACATTGCGGCGGATAGGCAGCAGGTTGGTGATCATGAGGAGCATATGAAGGAGTTGCAGCGGGAGGGGAAGGAGAAGGGGGAGAAGGGGGAGATGTAGGAAAAGTTGAGATGGAAGGATGGTGGTGAAGGTTAAAGGGTGGTGGAAGGCGGTGGTTGTATCTCTTGAATCTGAACAAAGCGCATATCGAAAGGATCAACTGGAATCAAATAATAAAGAAGAAGCAGCATGTTGAAGCCACCCACATCCCCCGTCAAACCCATACCCACCCCATCAAAAGTTCACAACACTAGCCTCCAACACCCCCTCCTCCCCAATCAACGCCTTAAGCACATCCTCCCCAACCATCTTATCAACCCCCAAAATCATCAACGCCTCATTACTCCCCTCACCTTTTCCTTCCACCCCATTCCCATTCCCATTCCCATCCCTTCCACCTACATTCCTCTCATGCATCCTCTCCTCCACCTCCCCATCCAACGGCGCCACATTCATAAACTCAATATTCACCCCCGCCTTCCCCAGCAAATTCCCCACATACCCAATCTTACCCACACTGTCGAAGTTGCGACAGATGAGCAGGGTGCCACGGGGCACGAATTCGCCTTTGAACTTGTCGAGGCGCGAGATGAAGGGTTTGTTGCCGGAGACGAAGCCTTGGATTATTTGGTCGGAGGAGGAGGAGGAAGAAGAAGAAGAAGATGAAGATGAAGGGTTGGTGGTTTGGAGGGCGCGGGCAGCGGAGGGAGATGCGTTGCGAGAATGGGAATGGGGTTGTTGGGATACGGAGCGTGAGGCGCGGGCGCGCAGGGTGATGAAGGAGGAGTAGGGTTTGTCTTCTACGTTTTCGCGGGAGCGTTGTTCGTTTATGAGGATGCCGCGGTCTTTCGCCAACAACTCTGCATTAACAATATTAATGTTCAAGCCGTCGCTGGAGGTAATGGGCGTGAGCAGTCCCTTAACCAACGCGGCGAAGAGGGGTTTCGTGGTGTTGATCGTAGCGAGCTTGCCTTCGTAGATGAGATCGAAGGTTGTGCGAAAAGAACCTGTTTTCGCGGAGGAGTAGTGTTGAGTGTAGAGGCTGCCCATTTTTTCGACGAGGCTGATGAATGGTTGGAGGGTGCGGTATTCGTCGGGGAGGACGATGGGTGCGTTGACGGCTGAGCGGGGGAGTTCGCCGCTGAGGATTGAGACGACTTGTTCGCAGACGTCGATGGACACGTTTTCTTGGGCTTCTTTGGTCGAGGCGCCGAGGTGGGGGGTTGCTACTACTTTTGGGTGGGCGATTAGGCGGGATGCTGATGAGTTTTGTTCGGGTGGTTCGGAGGTGAATACGTCGATACCTGCCCCAGCGATGATACCAGCGTCTAGAGCTTCGACAAGGGCATCTTCATCAATCATGCCGCCGCGTGCTACGTTGAGGATACGAGCCGTTGGCTTCATTGTCTCTAGTTCGGCCTTGCCGATCATGCCTTTAGTCGAGGCGATCAAGGGAGTATGTAGGGTCAGGAAGTCGGCCTCTTTCAAGATCTCAGCTAGACTTGGGCGGAGGGTCACTGACGCCGCTGCAGCCAAGTTCGGGTTTGCATAGGGGTCGTAAGCTATCAGACGCATGCCCAGGCCATTGGCAATACGAGCAACTGTGAGACCGACTAGGAAAATGTTAGCCAGTTCTTAAACAAGTGAAGCATCAAACTTACCTTTGCCCAGGCCGACAATGGCAAGAGTCTTGCCTTTTGCCTCCACACCCACCAGTCGACTTCGCTCCCATTTCCCAACTTTGATGCTCTGTGACGCATCTCCAATGTTGCGAGCCACAGCCATCATCACTGTCACATGTTAGTTAATGTAAGAATATCCTTGCTTGGGCTACCTACGCGCAATGGTGTGTTCCGCAGCAGCGTTAATGTTCCCAGAAGGTGAGTTCACCACAATGATACCGTGTGAAGTGGCCGACTGAACATCTACATTGTCAACACCAACACCGGCACGTGCAACGACTTTCATATTCTTGGCGGCACCCAGAAGCTCGGCTGTCACCTTCGTCTCCGACCGTACGATGAGGGCGTCATATTCGCCGATGATTTCCTTGAGCTCTTCTGGACTTAGTCCTTTCTTCTCATCTACATCGAATTGGTCTTTGAGTAATGCCAGTCCATCTGGCGAGACCTTCTCTGGTATCAAGATCTTCCGTCTCGCTGTGTGCATCAGGATAGCCATGTTAGCGGGTATTGGTATGTGCTGTTCTTGCGGACACTTGGTAGACTTGAGTAACCAGGTATGAAAGAGTTTCAGTGAGTTGACCAAGGGTATGTGTCGATTATGGCGTCGACTGTAGGTTTACGTGAGACTGTACGAGATGTAAGCGCAAAGCCTACAGGAGGAGTACACTCCATTTTGTACACCCAGAGTAAGACTGCGCCGCTATCGGTCTACTGCAGTAGCATGCGTCAGAGGGATGTCTTTGTGGTAGCCTTACCTGTTGGCTAGGTTTACCCCGCACTCCTTCTACCCCACGGGGTGAGCGCCGCTGCTGCAGGGTCAATTTGGCGAAGTACCTAGGTATCGAACAACGCCCTCGGAACTTTGCAGAGATGATGTTAGAAATGTTCATGAGAGATACCATTGAAAGAAAATCGATGTAGTGTGGAACGTGTTTCATTACTCAGTTATTGTTGTAGTACCGCGAGCGCTCGCGTCCGTCATGCTACTATACTGTGCATATGTTGCGCAGCGTGGGTAGCCACATATGGTGTGATCTTCAACGATTGGAGGCTGAATTGCTGTAGAGTGGGATATGCACATCACGCGGGTAGTCGGCGCCGCCCGTTTACCAATTGCTACGTGTCTTGAGCTTCTCGTTCTGCACTACCTCGATCCAGTAACCATCGGGATCTGCGTATTCTGTCAGTTGTCGCTTCGTACGACGGATAGATAACGACGAACCTAGTACGAAAGCGATGTTCTTCATGCGTCCGTCAGTAAGCCTCTTCTTCCAGTTGACCTTCTTCTCTTCGAACCGAGCACACGCAGCGTCGAGATCGTCGACAGCAATGCAGATGTGGCCGAATCCTTGGGGCTCATCGTTGCCGTTGTGGTACTTGAAGTTTGCGTCGTTCTCGGTTCCGTAGTTATAGGTCAGCTCAAGCAGGCCTTCGGTGTTTGCTACCGGGTTGACGCCGTTTGCGGTGTTTTCGGATGCATCGGGGCCGTATCCGAGGAAGTATAGGTTGAAGCCAGCACTTTCGTTCTCAGAGGTGCGCTTCAGTTTCATGCCCATGACGTCTTGGTAGAAGTTGAGTGAGGCCTCCTTGTCCTTGACGCGGATCATGGTGTGGTTCTGCAATCATCAGTACACCAACGTGATGTCTTCCTAGCGCTACTTACCATGCGGTACGAGCCTGTATCGGTGTCCTTGACGTTCTCGGTCTCCTCCAGTGGCTTCTGGCCAATGACCTCCACCCAGTAGCCATCAGGGTCGAGCACAAACGCGATGTGGCGCATGCGACCGTCTGTGAGCTTCTTCTGGAACTTGTAACCCGCATCTTCTAGCCTCTGGCAAGCAGCCTGTAGGTTGTCCACTGAGATGCAGAGGTGGCCGAAGCCTTTGTGTGGTTCCGTGTTGCCATTGCTGATCTTGTAGTTTGGATCGTCTTCGGTGCCGTAGTTGTGCGTCAACTCGACAATTCCCTCGCGGTCGGTCCAGTGGTTGCCGTGCGAGGCAGCCTTCGGGCTATCGTACGCGAGGAAGTAAAGGTCGAACTTGGCGTCGGGGTTCTTGATCTGATTGATCTGCTTCATTCCAAGGAACTCATAGAATTGGACAGAGCGCTTCGGATCCTTGATCCGGATCCTAGCAGGTGTGAGTAGCTGGCCAATAGAATGGGGATGGCGCAGTGAATGCCATGCGGGTACTCACATGGAGTGGTTGAGCTTGTACTTGGATGGGTCGGTCGCCATGGTTGCTAGTGTTCGCACGAGGAGGCTTGGTGTGTTGTTTGATTTGAGAGGACGAAATGCAGATGATGCGACTACTCGTAATGTTCTTGGTATTGCGAGACGCGTGAAAAGCATTGATTGAGCTCTCTAGCAGTGTCGCAGCACAATTGAGGGGAAACAGATTCTAAGGCCGATGACGTCTGCGATCCAATGACGAGCTGCCAATTGCCCCTCACCCGGGATTTGCTCGGAGATCAGCCCGGTGGGTTACAAACATCTCGAATGCGCGCGAACGACGAATCGTCCTGTGACGTCCACATCAAACATGAGCACTGTCTACTCAGATCTGGAGATGTACGTCAGGTCGATATCGTTGTAACGCGCGTGTCATCCAAGAACATCGTCGTGTCGCGTGCGCGCGGGCCATTCCTTCGAATCACACTCCACCCGTGATCCGGCTCAAAGATATACCCTGCGTCTGAGTCCCGTCATGATGTGTAGATGCACGAAACCTGGGTAGCATCTCCAAGCAACATGGTACTAGGCTGCAACAATACAAGCTCTTCATAGCATGATCACGAGAGCACGTGCGGCGGAAAACAAGGCTCCGGCCAGCCCAGGTGGTCATAGCTCTCTCCTGGGGAACTTCGTCGTGAACATCGTCATGATCAAGATACTGACACGCGCAACTTCTCTCTCGTGATCCCATCCGTTCCTTCTCGTGTTCTAACGCGTTCCTTACTGTTGCGACGCGTCGCTGGCCGTTGTATCCGCTTTTGGTCTCAGAGAAGGCGCAGATCGGTGAATTAGCAGCACGACAGCGCGGAAGTGGTTGCGCCAACGATTGACCAGGTACGTGGGCCTTCTTTCACATCGCCGTCATCCAAATCAAATCCATTCGTTGCAGCGCGTGGTACTCGCTACATGCTCACACGTCGCTAAAAGCTTCCCTCGCACCGTCTATTCTTCATTTTTAGTTCTTAACACCTACAGCTTCCCCGTCTAATCATGTCTGCAGATCCCGCAATGATCAACATCGCTAAAGTGAGCGACTGGCTCACGCAGAATGCAAACGAACACATCTACCCAAGACTCTTGTAGGTTCTAAGTACCAAACACTGTTATCCCAACTAACTTCAGTAGCTTGATGTCTCCAAATGGCACACTATTAGCGTACTCAAAGCCTGTCCAGACCAAGGAGCTTCGCGATCAGGCTGCCCTGATATCTATGACCTGGAAAGACAACTGCCAAGGACGTCAAAAGCCAACGACCCGCAATGGAGCTACCCAGGACCAGTCGCTGCAACCCGCACTTAGGACACTCACCATCGAGACTCCGGATTGTAATATCATAGTACGCCTATTGCAACCTGAACTACTACTCGTTCTCATCGGTAGAATCGCTCCCGGCAAGAAGCAGGGCTTCAAGATCTCGGCCGAAGGACAGGGAGACCCACGCTACCCAGAGGCAGACGACCCAGTTTCACGTCCTGGTTCAAGCAACGAACAGCATTTGACCATCAAAGGCAAAGCGCCCTCATTACTTAGCAACATGAGCCAGCGTGATAGGGATCTCAGGAGCGGCGCGCTTCACGTCCAGCGGAAAAGATTAGACGCCCTGGCTGAGTACGTCTTGCAAGACTTCGGCGACACTGGATTTGTCATGCCCGCAGATGCAGACCTTCAGTAGTACGATGATGCGGCTCGGGACGGGGATACGTTACCCCTGCCTCACTTTACAGATGCTGGCTCTGAGGAGACTGATGGTGACGAAGTACTGCACAAGAGATCGCTGGCTTGGCTCAGTTCGCTGACCGCGCTAGTATGAGGCCATTGTGTTACCAGTAAGGAAGCGGATTGTAATAGCGACCTCTCCACGGCCATGTGCTACATTATAGCCAATGATCCTGCTGCCTACTGGCTACATGGGTTTGGCCAGTGCTCGGTACAGCTCGCACGCGAACAAGTAGCCGTCAGCCTGCTTTACTGGCAGATGGATCGCACCGATTTTGTTTCGCTCGCATGGTCAACAAGATTATCTGCGAGGTGCGGCGCTCTGCAGACTTTTGTTTTGAAGAGGAAGATTTTGCGAATGTTGCAGGAATATGTGGACTGCCAAGGCGTAATTACTGGAAGAGAGAAGGAAGCATTGGAAACGGCCGTCGTGTATACGCTGCATTTTTGGATACCCAGGAGTCGAATCTGACTTTGTTTACTGTTCACATGGATTCTAGGTGACATTCTCTCGGAGTATGATAGCTAACTGTCCGGGCATGCGTTGCCTGACATGACAGAACGACTCGGTTCCCAGGATACCCCGTTCAGCAGCGATATACCATGGGATACAGCAGCACGTCCACCCATATTGCACGTCATGACAAAGTCATCCTCAAAGCCAACCTTGGAAGCGAGGTGTGGCAGAAACAAACCCTCAAAACTTGTATGTGGATTCTTATCTAACAATGTGATACAACTGGCCAAGGGCCACGGGTCTTGGAGACGCCAAACGACGGCCACAAGTACCAGCCTAAGCTTGATGCACATTCCATCATACCGGCAATGGCTTCGGAACACCCCTCTTAACACCAGGCTCGCCCAGACCAGGAATAACCAAAGGAGCCTTTCTCTCCATCGGCGTCCTACCAATAGGGAAGAACTTCGTGATCGTGTGATCAGGTCCATATGCCTCCTCGACGAGATACACCGTCACTCTCCACCAAGCGCAGAGGGCGGACAGCATCCAAAAGTAGCTCGCAGCCTTCATTCCCATCGTTACTCCGCCAGTGAGGCTATCGCCTGATGCGCTAGTATCCGCCGTGGTGATGGGACGACCATTGTACGCGAACATGCAACAAGCGATCGTACTGCCGATAGCCAGGGAGAAGAGACAGACGCTGAGCACGACATCGCGTGCTGTCGCTGCGAGCGCGCCCGACCAAGTGAAGACACAAAGTATCACGAACCAGGACGCGAGTTCGGGGAAGTGCGTGTGCACTTCATGCGGTTCCAATGCACCAGCCGCCTATACATCCCTCGTTAGCCCATCATCCCCTACCCTATTTCAAACCCCCCTCATAAACCATCAACGACTTACAACAAAAGCATACAAAACCCCAATACTAATCCAAAAACTTCCCCACATGGTATTTATCACCGTCACCAACGTATCCCTCGCTTTGAACCCGTATAATCCTGCGATGAACTGCGCCAGTCCGCCGAACAGGCCTACGAACGGGAAGAAGATGGTTGGAGATTCGGAGTTGCCCCACCAGTTTGCGATGTAGGATGAGGTTATCCATGTTGAGCCTGCGAAGCCGGCGAGGCCGAGGGCGGCGGGCGGGGCGATGGGTTGGAGGAAGATTTGGATGCCGGGGGTTTGTTGGAGGGTTTGGTCGACTTTTTGGGGGGAGGAGGCGGCGTGGAGGGCCATTTTGGGGGCTGTTTGTTGTTAGGAGTGGGAAGATGGGGTTTGGACTAAAGTGTCTCTATGCTGCGGGACGCGGACGGCCCTTGTGGGTGGGATGGTGTGTTTGTGGGGTCAACAAGGATATGGTGTGAGTTCTGGGAATGTGCGAAATGCAGTCAAATAAGTGATATTGTTTATCAACAGTCGGCGAACTCATTGTAATGATGCAATCGTACAGTCAGTGGGGACTGGAGATAGGATCGTGATGTTGTGGATGTTACGATGTTATGACGATAAGCGTGGCGCGGTAAAGCACTCCGGGTGCTGATCACGAACATCGCGACTTGTTCGCGTCGGCATCTCACTTCCGCGTGGAGGTTTTGACATCATCGCAACACCGGAAAGTCATTCTTATTTGTCGAATTATGTGACAAAGGCTACATGCAACTCAGATGGGCATTATGGCAATCGTGATCACTGGGGAGATCAAGGATCGCCTAAGGGCTTTGCCGTCTACGGTAGTTCGCGTCGATGTGGAGCGGTGTTGCTTGGTGTTGCTTATCTACAAAATACATGTGCACGGTCGATCTAGCTAAACGTTAAGAAGGATAATGAGAAAAATCGTGGTCATTGCAGATGATGAGACAGCCAAACGGAACGTGAAGGGAATCGCGAGCATCCATAATGCATACCACCAACATTTCTAGCGCAATGTTGGAACATGATCAGGTCCTCCGTGACACACAACAAGAAATAGGAGTTGTGATGGCGAGTTTGGAAGCGTGTGCTCCTGATACACGATCATCGAAACATGATTAAAGGTACAAATCGCATGTAGCATTCCTTGTCGACTTTGCCCAAGTGATTTCAGTCTTCAATTCATGTGTCGTCCCCATCATCGCTTACAGCTTCCAAACGCTCTTCACCGCTTGGATGGTTCTCGTAGGGGGTAACCCCCGATTCATCGTCGCTATCTCTCACTTCTTCTTCTCCGTAGTTATCATCCTGTTTGAGGGCCTCCGAGACCTGACTGTCGCAATTGGTGTCGTCTAGATCGATTGGAAACGCCCCCGGCATATAAATAGCATCAGAAAGTTCACAGTCGTCATCCTCAGACGTGGCATATTCTGTGGGTATAACGCTATCGATGAGAGCCTGTAAAGCGGCTTCTTCGACCTCTAGGGGTGCTCGATATTGTGGAAAGAGATACTGATCGCGTTGATCAAAAGACCCCCAGACCCATTCCAGCTCCTCGTCGTCCATTCGCAGGCCTTCTACGCATGCTTGCTCGAGTATCTGCATGGTCTCAACATCGCCCTGCAAGGCTGCATAATGCACGATCGAGTAATTTGCGAGTGTAAGGTTGTTAAGCTGGGCGCCGTAGTATATAAGCGTTCTGAGTACCGAATGATTGTTGTGCTGTACAGCCTTCATGACTGGTGTCTCGCCTGTGGGAGTTCGAGCATCGATGTCGGCCCCAGCGCGCAGTAGTTCTTCGCAGACTAAATATGTACCCCTCATAGCCACGGTGTGTAGAAGGTGCAAGCCATCTCGAACATGGTGCACGTTCGATCCAGCATCTATCAGGATGTCGACAACCGGAACGCAAGAAGTTGACTCAACCTCACTTTCGAGAGGGCTTAGTCCCCCAGGTGTAGTATAGTTGACGTCTGCGCCAGCTTGGATCAGTTTGATGCAAAGCGTGCGTGACTCGGTTGGACCACGAAGCGTTGCATACAATGGAGTCATACCATCGTTCCCGACCGCATTTAAATCCGCGCCAGCTTCGATCAGCGCATCTACGGCCTCATCTTGGTTCAGAAATGCAGCCCAATGAAGCGGAGTATTTCCCAGGGAATCTCGAACGAGCGCAGCGCTCGGTTGGACTCGGAGAAGGTCTCTTAGGCGTTCTATGGATCCTTCGAGCAACAGCTCTGTAGCGGGAGCGAGATCAAGCTCATCACAAATGTCATGTAGATCTGGTCTGCCATTTAGCTCGTGGTGTAAGACGCCCAATCGACAAGAGATGCCTAAAAGCTGGGCAGGGGTTCTACAGCCATCAGCCTATGTATTGAGACTGCTTCAACGAGGCTTACATTTTGTTTACGCGCGCCGAGTAATTTGCGTTCACTCCCTCATCCAATAGCATCGTTATGAAAGGCATGGAGCGTCCATTCAGCAAAGCAATCTTAAAAAAGTGTTAGCAGGCCCACAGATGGGTAATCAAGCGCTTACTTCGAGGAATGACTCAGGCTCTTGATCAAATACTAACATGTCGATGCCTTTGACTCCGTAGAGCTGCATGGCGCGCTGCATATCCAGTACAGTTCCATAAGCTATGGCTCGACGCAATTGCAGCCCCGCGTAGTAATCTGTGACGACGCGCGGTATTTTAAGACTCCAGGTCCCCCCAACACCACCCAGTGAACGCCAAGATGCTGCAATTTCAATACCCAGGGGTAAGAGCCATGTCGGAAAAAAGTAATGAAAACGCAGCGACCCTGTCGCGTTCGATCTTTGATGACAATAGCCGTAGTTGCATGTTCGGCGGTTGAGTAAAGGTACCGAGGTGAATTTGTAGAAGGCGGCACCCATTAATCCCCGTAACCATCTCGGCGTGGTACCCTGGCAGGGCACATGGCAGTCGCAAGGACATGAAGACCTGCAAGTCCGATTTGTCGCAGTCTCTATGGTTTCGATTTTGACATAGGAAGTGACATCAATCCGCTGGGCGATCATGGTGTTATCCATGCTTGATGGGGCTGTGCTCACGCAAGCCGCTTTCTCCATGGCATGAGGCAGATTGAGCGTGTTGTCATGTGTCATAGATTCTGTAAATATTTCTCCCGCGTGGACAATGCTTACATCTTGGATAACGGTATAAAGCCTACTAGTGGTTTTTCTATATACGCAAAGTCAGCTACTTGGCCCAGTAACATTAGCTGATACAAAGTTCTCTCGCGAAACCGACCTGCGACCGGCAACGGCAGACTTCAACTTACAAGTTTGTCGCACTCATCGCCAATACGAAGCTCATTTTCAACGAAGCTAGCTCCTGCTGGAATGTGTTAATCCGAGATTGCGCTTGGCCTCCTCCCAACACTTCCATCCACTTCGCACGTCTCTTCAACTCCATGATTTTATCAGCACCGGCCACTTTTTCTCGCTTGCGTAGCACATTTTCCAGTAAATGCTTAGTGAAGGCGTCGAGACAGCTCGTTGCTCGACCCAAAAGTCTGTTGTATTCGACCTGATGTTCTAGCGGAAGCTGGTGCTGGGTTTCTTCTAATGATGTCTGCACCAATGTGAGAGTAGCCTTGAAGTCAGTGACTTCGTTGATCGCTCCAAGTACGTAGAGAGGACTGCCGCGGAGGCCCAACACTCGTTCCAGGATCGAGGCGACATAGCTGGCTGCGCTGACGAGGGTGATTATGCTGGCCACTAAGCCTATGGCTTCCATCGTGAGTTTGCAAACGCGGGTAGATGAGTCTAAGACTTCCGAGTTGTTGTGATGAACTCATCAGATGCAAAGTGGGGGGACATGAAAAGGCCATGAGGGAGGCGCAGTGCTGCGGTCTATAGTTGTCTAATGTTATTTGTGCGACACCAAGTGTGTAAAAGAGGTATACACAGCCCGCATGCCGTCAGATAAAGCCTGCAATAGGTCGCACCGCTGCGCGCATGCAACCTGTCATTGGATCCGCATGCACAGCCTTGTGTCGTGGCACCCATACGCGCAGAATATGCAGTAATGAACAACCTTGCAAGGTATGGTTGGAGTACGAGTCTAGTGTCGTGACGGGAATTTGCCAGGTGTTGCGCGACAATGCAGTGCGCGAAGGACATCGGAAGATAAGATGATACGGTGTTGCCGATCAGATCTCCGAGAGCCGTGATTCCCCCGCTGTCACGTGTGAAGTCTCTTGGCGTGTCGAGCACGCAATTCGCGCTAGGGCCAAATTCTCGTCGCGTCAAGGCGACATTCCGCGCATTTGCAATCTATCGCCCGAAAGACGTGCTAGAGCATCTGGACAGGGCCAATCATGGTGTCTGTGAAGGATTGCGTCTTGCTCGGTCGGTCTTCTGCCGATGTCGCTACTGGACGACGGCACTTTTTGGCTGCTACGAGGCGGCAAACCCACGACACGCATATACTCTCACGGTGAAGCCTCCGGAGCGTCGTAGCACCTCCCGTTCTCTCACACACCCCAAAGAGAGACTCTCACTGCCTTGTTTGAGAGGCTGAGTTGCTGAGGCGCATACTTGTATTCAAGATGCATTTCCAACAGACTGAGTCCGCCGGCCCTGGGGCTGAGCAGAACGCACCCAAGAACTTCTCCAAGAAGTCGTCCAGTCTGCCGTTTGGTCAGGACCTCTCCTACCAATCTATCGGTGGCCCCACCTACCTCACGGCCCAAACTCTCGTACAGCAGGTCGCATACGCCCTCTCGGACAAGATCTTCGCATACTCGGCTGAGTCGTTCGACTTGGATGTCGCAGTCAAGTACTGGCAAGAACAGGGCGAGAAGAATGCTTTTGGCTACCAGACTGGTGTCTCTTCCCTGGAAACGAGGACGGGTGCTGGTGCCATCGCATTGGGATACATGTTCTCCAAGGACTATGACTTGAAGAAGCGCCATATCCCCCAGTCCATCGTCGCTTCCTCTTCCACGTTGAACTACCTCCGCGCCTCGCTCGACCAGCTATCCGCCCTCTACTCGGTCGCGAACCCTTTGACCGCCCACATCGCCGCAGTCGACTACTCCGCCAATTCCAGCGCTGGCCTCGTCACCGATTATGTGTCTTCCCTCACCCTCGCGGAAGACCTAGGCCTTGGGCTCGTCTGCAGCCCGTCTGTCTTCGAGGCCCAGCACATGTCCCTCTTCGCTACCCTCCTCTCGAGCGTCCTCCCCACGATCCACACATACGATGGCATTAGCGTTGGAAGGGAAACAGCCAGGCTGGTCGACACTCTCGACCAGACCCGGCTGCACAACAGCTATGAGGCGGTGCTCAAGGCCGTCTCAGAGGTTGACAAGAAGCACTCCGACACTGCTGGACGCGTCCTGCGCCTGCTTCAAGCCTTCAACGATGAGCTTGGCGAGGACTACAAGCTCTTCGACTACTACGGTCATGAGCAGCCAGAGAGCGTGCTCGTTGTCTTTGGTACCGTGGAGGCTTCCTTGACCGCTCAGGTCGCCAACGCCTTGTCCAGGGATGGCGACAAGGTCGGTGTCGTCAACGTCCGTGTCTACCGACCGTTCGTTGAGGAGGCTTTCCTTGAGGTACTCCCCAAGAGCACTCGTCGCATCGCCGTCCTTGGCCAAGTCAAGGATGAGGCTGCCGTGCTTGACCCTGCGGAGTACTCCAGGCTCTACTCGGACGTTTTGGCGTCAATCCAGTTCGCCTACGACAGGGACGTTGAGGTCACTGATGTCAAGTATTCGCGCGAGCAAGTCTGGACGCCCAGCAACTTCCTCGATGCTTTCCGCCAGATCCACGCCGAGAAGGAGGGTGCCGAGGTCCGCTCATACGTCGACATCTTGAACACTGCCGACGTCAAGCAGTACAGCTTCTGGAACCTCGACGAATCCTCTGCCGCCAATGCCCCAGTTGTAGTTGGCAAGCTTCTCTCAAGTGACTCTTCCAAGAACGTCTTCGTTCGCAGCGGCCACGACAATCTCGTGCAGGGCGGTGTTACTCGCACCGACATCCGTAATGCCGACTACACCATCGAAGCGCCTTATGCTGTTGAGCAAGCCGATGTCGCTTTCGTTGGCGACATTGCTATCCTGAAGGAGTTTGACGTCCTAAACAGCGTGAAGCCTGACAGCTCCATCATCGTCAAGCTGCCCGGTGTGAAGAACGAGGACATTGAGAAGAAGCTCTCGCCTGCTTTCCGCAAGGCCCTCGTGGACAAGGACATCCAGCTCTTCGTCCTTGACCCTGCTTCATCTGAGGCTGTCGCTGAAGATGAATCTCTAGAGTCTTACCTCACCCAGCTCGCCTTCTTGAAGGTTGCTCGTGAGGACTTGCTCTCCTCTAGCCTGAGCAAGCTTGCTGCTATCAACGGTAGCTCAGAAGTCTTCGACAAGCTCACCCAGCAGCTCGAGAGTGCTCTTCGTGAAGTCGAAGTCCCTGCTGCTTGGGGCACGGTTGAGGAGGACGTTGAGCCCATTCGACTCCCCTCAGACATCAACGTCAACAGCTTTGCTCCTTTCGACCGCATCGAGGCCGAGCCACCAACCCTGCTCAAGGACTGGCAAGTCGCAGCCAAGGGCTTTGCCTTCAAGGAGGCCTTCGGCACTGCGAACCAAGTTCGTCCCGATCTTGGCTTCAAGACCAGTGTTGTTCACGTCAAGGAGCGTCGCCGCCTCACACCACAGAACTACGACCGTAACATCTTCCACATAGAGTTCGATCTCGGTAACTCT